TCTATTAGTAAACATTTTTTTCTTCTTAAAAATTTAACTACTTTTACTTTGTGTTTCTTCCTCTGAAGGTATGCAAAATCAAGCCAAATCAAAACCATGTCCAGCAGCAAAATATTTTTTAAAGGCAGCAGATTTAGATACAGGTAAATAATATTTTGATTCCAACAGGAAGGAATTATAGAGATTAGGTTAGGTTAGATTAGATTAGATGATAGACAGACAGACAGATTCAATAAAACAAGTTCCTTAAGATTTTAAGCTTATATACAGTTATCTGAGTGTAAATCTCAATGAAAGCTGTAGGTCTGTGTGTACAAATATAAGATTACATCATTTTAGTCTGTGAAAAGGTCCAGACTGTTTTTTTTCAAGTCCTTGCTTTTGATTGTGTTAACATTTTCATAAACTGCTCTGGAAATACAAAAATAAATAAATGTAGAGAGTATACGACCATCCTATTCACAGGGATTTAAAAATAAGCAGCAATGATTATAATGGGAATTTATGCCTGATTAAATGTACCTAGAATTACACATGTGAAATAGGTGTGAATAGATCTATTTGAATAGATAAGAACGGATGGTTTTTGGTAGGCAGTACATTAGACAGCTTATTGGTATCAATTTGAGTGGAATTGTTCTTATAAATTGGGACTGAATGAGCCATGGTCCAACGTAAGCCCCAGTTCCATTTGTATATGAACTCAGATTCTCAAAATCACAATGTTAAAAATCAGATAGAAAATCATCAATTTCTTTTAGTATGATTTTTTAAAAAATATTTTTAAAAAGATGGGATAAAATGGATATTATGTCTCTCTCGGGCTTAACAATTTTTTCTGCCTTTTAAAACTCTCTGAACAAACTGACACGCACATATAGAAAAATTTCAGCATTAGCTCTCTGGTGATATCACCAAAAGGTTAGCTTAAATAAGTGAATTTATTAGAAGACTGTTGCCATAATTAAAATGCCAACTCTCTAAGGATAAAATTGCAAACACTCCACAATAATATTTTTTGAATATTCAACTCTGTTTCTAAAGACAAAGTCCCAAAAGTGCTTTTTCAAGAGTCAACTGGACTTTATTCTTTTTCTTTGAAGATATTTCTTGGATGAGAAGTGAAACATCTTCAAAGAAAAACAAGAAAGTGCAGTTGCCTCTTGAAAAAGCACCTTTGGGACAACCATGACCTGGATGACTGAGAATCTCATAGACATCTAAAGGCAAAGCTTTTCTATTACTTGGTATCCTTCCTAATATATGAATTGCTTTAAGTATTTCATTAGTGCACAATAAATAATTTTTTTAATCACACAAAAATTAGTTCTTAACATGTATATTTTGTGACAGTGGAAAAGTTGCAAAAGAAGTTGTTGAAGCAAGTTCAAAGATCCAGAGGGAGCCTCCAGAAGTGCACAGGTACTTTCTGATCTAAAACATTTAAAGAATCTTCTAACATTGACCTATATTACAAATTGAAAAGTTACATAACATACATTTAATTACTGCTTTTCCAGCAATAGTACATTGCTATTGGCTTTTAATATGTAATAGGAGCTGAAGGATTTATGATCATTTGAGGACATTTTTTAGTGTTTCCTGACTTATTCCCTTCAATAAGGGGCAACCTTTTAACTCAAATCCAATTCATCAGATCAGGAAAATCCAAATGTTTTCAAATCATTTTGGTATACAGGTAGTCCTTGACTTATGACCACAACGGAGCCCAAATTTTCTGTTGCTAAACAAGACAGTTGTTAAGTGAGTTTTGCCCCATTTTACAACATTTCTTGCCACAGTTGTTCAGTGAATCTCTGCAGTTGTTAAATTAGTAACATGGCTGTTAAGTGAATCTGGCTTCTCTATTGACTTTGCTTGTCAATTTGCTTATGATCACATAGCAATAGCATTTAGTGCTTTATAGCACTCTCTGAAAGGTTTAAAATGTCAGCATATTACCCCCAACAATCTGGACCCTCATTTTACCAACCTTGGAAAGATAGAGTCAACCTTGAGCCCATCAGGATCAAACTCCAGACTGTGAACAGAATTAGCCTGAATACTGTATTTTAACACTGCGCCACCAATACTCTCTTCCTGGTTCAATGCAACTGTCATTAATATGAACCAATTGCCAAGCATCCAAATTTTGACTATGTGACCATAGGGATGCAACAATCCTAAGTGTGAAAAATGGTCATAGGTAACCTTTTTCAGTGCTGTTGTAACATCAGTCACTAAATGAATGGTTGTAAGTCGAGGATTATCTGTAATAATTGCATAATTTTATTTCACTGATTCAGGTATCACTAGGCATTGACTACAAGAAACAAAAGTAAATAACCTCAAACTGTTCTGCAACATGTTTTGTCCAAACAAATATTCTGAAGAAGATAGCAAGAAGATTCTTTTTTTATATGCCACATAAGTATCTCCATATATGTACATATATATCTACAGCCTAATTTATTATATAGTCAGTAGGATAATTTATCCCCTTTCTTCACAGAACCAACATTACTCAAAGCCGTAGCTCTTATTCTTTAAGCAAACAATTCATAATAAATATGGAACCTTTGCAACCTCTCCATCCATCACCAGATGACCAGGAAGAGGTTATTTCTGATGAAGGCAAGTCGAAGCTAAGAGGCTCCCCCTGTTTTTATTTTTTATAAAGCACATCAATAAAGTTCAATAGCAATCAATTGCGTTTATATGTTTGAAAAGTTATTTTCATTCATGTAACTAAGAAACTTGCTGGACAATTGTTGATATGTTGCCTGTGAAAGTGCGTTTGGGGCAGTTTTAAATTATTGCAAAATATTATTTAATTATAGAATACTAGATGTTTATTAAAAAGAGTGGAAACTGATTCATCTTGATCATAAATTAGATTTTCCATTTAATAGAAGGGGGTTCATTCTGAGACATCAAATTTTCACAACTTCTCTTTGCCTGGTAGCTATTGAACTAAACTCTGTATCATGTAAGTCATCTTAGGATAGATTATTATTGTTCATTATTATTGTTTTTTCCTTAAAACATTTTAGGAAATAATGCCATGGGATGGGACGATGTCCCAACATATTCTACCATTTCTAAGTAGAAAATATACAAATACACCTCCATCTCAAGTAGTCAAGGACACTTTTAGATACCGTGTTTCTCCAACAATACGGCCTCCCCCAATAGGAAGTCCCAGCATGCTTTATAGGCATAAAATCAAATTAAGCCCCTCCCCCCAAATTAAGGCCTATATTAAACATGC